TTTTGATATTTCTTTCTATGTTTAATCTACTTTACATTTCTCACATGTTTTTGAATGAAATTATACTTTGAAGAAATTTTATTTTCATGCTTATTTTGTAGGTATATCTGTTAGGAGCAAAACACAACTGAAACGGGGCAAAATGGAGCCAAACGAGCAAAATGGTGGAGTTGATTCAGAGTAGTGTATGATGAGCCAAACTGGCACTAGATGTGTCAAAATCCAAGTGCATGATGCTCCAGATATGACTTTTTTTTGGATTAAGGTGGTAAGAAATGAATTTTGTGTAAATTTTCAAAGGGACACTTGTTCTAAACTCCCCTTAGGGTGACTCAATGCATCTAGATACTTTGGAAGGTTCTTGGATCAATGAACATGTATTTTAAATTCAAATTTTCAAAGGGACACTTGTTCTAAACTCCCCTTAGGGTGACTCAATGCATCTAGATACTTTGGAAGGTTCTTGGATCAATGAACATGTATTTTAAATTCAAAATAGTTTACCTTTATATAGAATTTTGGAGGGAGGCGACCTTTTATAAAAGAGAGGGAGGTCTGGGGCTTGAAAGTGGTGTGAGAGTGTGTGTGTGTGTGCATGTGTGGTGTGGCGTGAGAGTGAGAGGAATGCTTTGGAGAAGAGAGGATTTTCTTCTAGGGTTGTAAGATGAGAGGGAAGGCGAGAGATTTTTTCTTCATTACATTTCTAGGAGAAAATTGAGTGTGATTGTAAAGAGAGAAAGTGCTTAAAAGAAACTTCTAGGGATTTTCTTGGAAATGATTGTGAGATTAGTTGTGTTCTATTCTTTCTTTGTTTTGTAAACTTGTTTTTATATATGAAATTCGTGTCTGTTTTGTCGTATCCTTCTCATGAATTATGAGTAGTCTTTTTTATTCTTCTCCCTACAATGAGATTTGATTTTGTGAATAATTGATTTTGTTTTATATAGTTTTAAATGTCAATATTTGTGATGATTTGAACCTAGATCTTCATTTACCTTTTGATTTGGCTAACTAAAATTTTAAAATGTGTTAAGATACATATGTTCTGAAAGGGCTATGATTTCTACAAAAGGGCTATGATTTCTACAATATGGTGAGAGTCACATTTGATTTCTTGGGAGAGTATTTCATCCATGGAGTTGTGTGCAAATAAATATGGAAATGTACTTTTTTGGATGCAAATGGATGT